TCCTTACTGTAGACTATGGAACAGATAAAAACTTAAAGTATCCAGAATTATGAATTTTAAATAAAAATTCCTTTCAAATTTCACAACCTTGCTTGTCTCTTTACAACTTCTCAAAATCAGATACTAGTTTTTTTTTAAACCTCCCTTAATAACACAAATAATTATGGTCCAACCTTAAGGTCAGATCCTACAATTGGATCTGCATAGGTGGACCCTATGGGTTTCCGTGTAAGAACAAGGGTCCATCCACTTGGCTACCAGTGCAGCATTGGGGCTTAGTTATTTTTCAGCCAATGGTGTATTTTGTTAATTCTTTTTATCACCATTGGTAACACAGTGTATTTATGCATTGGCACAGTACCTAGCACAATGGGGTCCTAGTATGACAAGGACAAAAATAAACTACAACAATACAAATAGCCTGAGAATGTATGCATTTTATTTTCACTAATGAGAGGCCTTTCTAATAATTAATAATGGTTTGAGCATCTAGGGTGATATACTGTCCACTGTGATAAAAGTGAACTGAAAAGGCTAAGAGCTGATGAAATCTACTTTAAAAAGGGGGATGGGAAGAATTCTAGACAAATAGAACGGCCAAAAGTGGATGACTTTTTCCACACACAATTTGTCATTAGAAGCCTAACAAAGGTCTGTATAGAAACTGAAGAGCTCTCCATTTTGTTTTGGATGTCTGGGTATAAGGTTTAATACAGACTATCCATGTAGAAAACATGAGAACATACATCATTTTATTTGCATGGCTGCTAAAACTCCCAGTCCTACTGGGAATGTCCAAATTTTTCACATTTATCTCAATCCAACATAACGAGGACTGTGATGCTAAGGGCTGAGTCATCTAAGGGCTATAATGCCAGCCTTCACTGCTAAGCAGAACAACATGAAATCCAGTTAGAGATTTCCACTGCTGATAGGCCAGCTGTGCCCTAACAGCTCCAGCCACTCCTCTGTGCTATGCTGAAGGTTTCTGTGCACAATAAAGATTGGCTAAAACGCAGAGAACAAATGGAGCAAATAGTAAAAGAGTTGAGGACAAAAATCCATGTGAAGAGGGTTCAAAATCTTTTGAAGAACAAAAGGCACAGAATCCACGGGGGACAGAGCTAGGGGAGAGAAAGGGAAAAGGAATAAAAGGCCTGGACAAATAATCAGTTGGAAGACAGGGATTGGTAAAGGAAGGAAACAGAGAACGAGGAGCAACAGGGGAGCCCTGAATGTAAAGAAAATGAGAGAGATACCCCTGAAGATGCCACACGAAGGGCAGCAGACCTCTGCAGCATTGTAGCTGTACCTCCCAAACCTCAAGACAACAACCACTGGTAGTCTAGTGGGAAGAGGGAATTGTGTAGGAGAAATCATGGTGACTCTTGGGACATTTGTTTTCAACTTCTGGATGTTTATGCAAATCCCAGAGTTTTCAGATGTTTCTCATTGTTAGTTTATAGTTTGTTGGGCGTTTTGTTTTGTTTTAAACTCAGTATCATATGGAGAAAGTTCTAAGTGCCTGAGAATTGAGATTCATCTCAACAATAACCAATCAGAACAGACCAAAAATTGAACAAAAGATGGAGCAAGCAGGAAGAAGTCAATCAAGTCAGGAGCAGGAGAAGGAGAACCAGAAAAAAGATCAGAAGAAACCTAAAAGAGCAAAGGAATCAGAAGAAGCAACCACAGGGTGACAGCAGCCGCAGCGCTGCTGGGACAGAGCAGAAGGACCCTGACAGAACAGAGGAAGAGAAGCCTACAGCATGCTAGCTATAGTATAGGATATAGAATAGAAATAGGATTAATGAATGTATATGCTTGGGATAATAAAGATGAGTGTCTGTGGTGTGTATGTTTATATGACTATGTATAAAGATTAAAGTTTATTAAGATTACGGTCAGTATCCTGCATGTGACTGATCACCATGTGCAGAACATAATCACTTAAGCAATTCCAACTGTATAACATTACAGTATTGGGTGCTTTAGCTTGTATACCTGTACTAAGGGCCTTATGTTTATGTTTTAATTTAGCTTTAGATTAATTGTATTAGGAAAGATTGGTTATACTAAATAAAGAAAACATTTTGTTTTGGAAAAGTACTGCCTCGGTGTCAATCCTTTGAGCGGAGGGCTGTATCCGTATCCTCCCAAGGGTGACCAGATCTAGTCTGTTCTGGAGAGCTTCCTGAAGGGCATAAGGAGACCCTTGGTAAACCCGAGCAATTCTACAAGGGCAGGCCCCCTCCTTTCACCTTGCAGGAACAGATTAATAGGCCAACGTCTTGGGAACCTGGAAGTACGCAATAGAAGGGCTACTCTGGGATCCTTCAGTATGTTCTTGGGGTAACAAACAATCCCATACTTTTACTAACCAGGTGTAAATGAAGACCAGTACATTTGAACAATAATATTCTTTATCTCAGCCAATCCATATTTAGAAAGTCTAAGCCAAATCCTGCAGAGTTCATTCTGTCAAAATTCTCAGACTTCAATGAGAGTTTTGAATGAGTAAAGACTGATCCTTTGTTCTGGTCACCAACTGTCCAGCTGAAAAGCTACATTATAAACAGGATATTGTTTTAAGTAATTTATTACTAGTAGTAGAAGTTGTTCTTCCAAGATGTAAACTGTGGGGCATAAGGTTTTGTAATTTTTGTGAAGAGCTTGAATAAGCAACAAAGAATGAATTGTAAAGGGAATATGTCAGTTATATGAAACTATGTTTTTGAACTGAGTGATGGCAGAAAACCATGCTTGGAAAGGTGCTATGCTAGATGTGTAAAAAGCATTAAAGCAGTTAATGGATTAATACACTATATAATATAAAAATTCACTCCTGTTATTGTACAGTCACTGATTTGGAAAATACAGCAATGAAAAATACTTATGTTTGCTGATAGAAATTTAAACTCTGTGCTGTTAGCTTCAAAAGAAAATAAGATGCTTTTTACAGCATGACATTTTTTCACAGTCCCAAAGTTTGAGCAATTCTGCAGCAATGTAATCCCTACATTTATATTTAATCTAAAACTTGTATTGTCAACACAAAATGAAAATTAAAACAGAAAGCTGGTATAAGCAATATGGAACCATTGTTTCAAAACTCTCCCTCTATCAGTTCGATCCTGCAAGATGATTAGTTTATGCATCTCCCAAGCCAGGTAACAAGATGATCAGGCCCTATCAATAGTGAATTAGGTTTGTTGAGGTAACAGGGCTATTATAGAAAAGAAATATTTAAAAAAAAAAAGTATACCTAACACTGTATGAATGCCAAAGAAAAGTCTTCTCCCACCACTTGGCAGCTTATTTGTGTTTTATTTTGTGCTTCCAAGATGCATGAAGTTTCAGTGTATATATAATTAACAATAAAGTATTTCAATCAAACACCAACGCATAAAAATGCCTAAAACAAAATACAGAATCCCGAATTAAAAGTGCTTCTGTAGTTCAAGCATATATGAAATGGAGAATAAATACCTTCCATAGGAAAGTCACAAAAATGTACAACCCGATGCTAAAAGCTTTATCTAGTTCTTCATTTTAAGGATTTTCTGTTTCTCTGAGTGTTTACTTCATTATATGCTGTATCTATTCAGGTTTCATACTTACCCTTCAGCAGATCCTTCACAACACAAGTGCTGGAACCACCTACCCATTCCATGGAGCAGAAAATCCACATCCACAATAGAATGATTTGGTGGAAACACCACAATGTGCCTAGCCCATTCCTGCGTTGTTTTTCTTGAGCTGGGGTAATCAAGCCCATTAATACTGTCTCCCTTGTAAATTAAAATGGTACAGTGATATCAAAACTAGAAATTACAGTACATGGGAATTATACATTAAATTACCATGCAATATGCACAATGTAAAAACTAAGTAACTGCAACATAATTTATACAGCAATCATGTAATCATGGAGCCAGTCTATAGAATAAAGTGCTGCTTGTCCTTCTATTTTCTGTGCTTTATTCTGTAGCTCAGATTTTTTCCTAAATAAATAATTCATTATAGTGCTTTTAAAATATACGGTTGAGCTATCCTTAAAAGGTAACATTATTCATCTACTCTGATCCCTCATAAAAGGTCTATTATGTAAAATGAAGCATATAGAAATATTGAAGACAATGGTTCCTCTTGACCATTTCAAGCTCGAGCATTTAAAAAAATGGAAGGAAGGGAGTAACTAACTGTCTTGCATTATTCCCTTCTTTCACTTGATTGACAGTAAACTCCAGAAAGGGAGAGGGGATGTACTAAGGACCAAGAATGCCAGAAACTCCCTAGAAGTGGGGGACACCCCCCCCCACTGGTGCCTGAACCATGGCCCCTCCCCCTGCTCTCTCATCTCTTCCCCCTCTCCCCATCGCTCACCCTTAAGGCACATAAAAAGTTGTGGGGCCATGGCCCCCTGCCCCAGCCTGCAGTTCCAGTGCCCCTGCTAAGGACACAGATTCCTAAAATATCATTTAAAACACAATCCAGTCTACTGGAAAAGTATAATTAAAACCAGTGCAATAAGTCAAATTTACATTTTCCCCTCTATTTGCAGCTAGTTAGACTACTCAAACAAAATTCCCACTGAAGACAGGACTGGGATCTGACGGGGTAAAAATTAACCAGAGAAAGCATGTAAAACAGACTTGTCCACTGTATCTTGTACCTCTATCAATGAAAGCTTTCAAATGTTTTTTAGAAAGAGAAAATGAAAGAAATTACCTTATCTTAAACACCTGAGACCTTTGGTATTTTACAATGGACTGTTGCAGCTAGAGTGCTCCCTTAGTTAGACTTAGAGTTAGTATTTCTCTCCTATATATATTTTTAAGTTATTGATGTAAGCCTGCAATAACTCCATTAACTTCTATGCATCTACAGATTTACATCTGTATTCCAGAAAGCAGAATTTGGCTCTATCTTGTTATACTTTATACAACATTGGAAACAGTATGGAAAAAATACTTGCGTGAATTAACTTTTTCAATTACCTAGCAGTTCCATTGCATCATCCTCATTGTCAATATCTTCTTCCGTCACTGAGGGAGCTGTGCTTTGAACAGAATCAAAAGAGTCCTGGGAAAGCATGGCAGCCAGTAGCTTCTTATGTTGCTGTTGTTGCTGTTTTAATCCTTTGGTCTTCGGCTCCATCTTTAAACTGGGTGGGGGAAATCATAACCTCCTTTTATTGTACTCTCTCTACAAAAAAATACCTTTACAGCAGCCATTTCATTCAAATGAACAAATGAAACCATTTAATTAATAGATTAATTATTTTCAGTTTCTTCTGCAATTATAAACATCCATACAGAAATTTTGCCTTATTCTTTAAATACCAGAGAGATTGCCTCTCCTCTCACATGCAGCAGTAGCTGTTGCAATCAGCTGTGGAGTTCAAGCTAACTGACCACAAATTTAAACATCAAGGAGATGTTGGTAAGGCACTGCAAGTGAAAGACTGAAATTCACTCCAACATTGGTCTGACTAGTCTATCAATATTAAGTTCACGGTGCAAGGCCCAGCTCTTAAACAACATAGGTTGAGGACCCTGCATCATGATCTTAATATTAAAACTTTAGGTTAATGTCAGTTGGGGAGGGGCAGCATGGTCCTGTGGCTAGGCCACTGGAGTGGGACTCAGACTCGTAGGACTGGAAGGGGTCTTCTAGTCCAGTCCCCTGCACTCATGGCAGGACTAAGTATTATCTATACCATCACTGACAGGTGTTTGTCTAACTTGATCTTAAAAAAAGATTTCACAACTTCTCTGGGTAACTTATTCCAGTGCTTAACCACCCTGACAGTTAGGAAGTATTTCCTAATGTCTAACCCATATCACCCTTTCTACAATTTAAGCCCACTGCTTCTTGTCCTATCCTCAAAGATTAGGGAGAATAATTTTTCTCCCTCCTCCTTGTAACAACCTTTTATGTACTTGAAAACTGTTATGTTCCCTTTCAGGCTTCTCTTCTCCAGACTAAACAAACCCATTTTTTTCCAATCTTCCCTTGTAGGTCATGTTTTCTAGACCTTTAATAATTTCTGTTGCTCTTCTCTGGACTTTCTCCAATTTGTCCACATCTTTCCTAAAATGTGGTGCCCAGAACTGGACACAATACTCCAGTGGAGGCCTAATCAGCACGGAGTAGAGCGGAAGAATTACTTCTCGTGTCTTGCTTACAACATTCCTGCTAATACATCCCAGAATTATGTCTGCTTTTTTGGCAACAGTATTACACTGTTGACTCATATTTAGCTTGTGATCCACTATGATCCCTAGATCCCTTTCTGCAGTACTCCTTCCTAAGCAGTCATTTCCTATTTTGTATGTATCAGGAGACTATTCCTAGCTATATAACCATGGATGAGTCATTTTGGGTAAAATTTTCAAAGATTTGGAACCCTCAGTCCTGTTTCAAAAGCTTCTCTATCACAGCAGCCTAGGCCCCACTGAAAATCAATTGGAATTAGGTGCTTCACCTCTATGGGTACATCTACACATCAATAAAAGACCCACAGCACAGCTGCAGCTGGTCCAGGTCAGCTGACTCTGGGTTGCAGGGCTTGGGCCGTGGGGCTAAAAATAGCAATATAGACATTCGGGCTTGGGCTGAAGCCTGAGCTCTGAAACCCAATGAGTGGGGAGAGTTTCAGAGCCCCGGCTCCAGCCTGAGCCCAAATGTCTACATTGCAATTTTTAGCCTCACAGCCCAAGACAGCTGATTCAGGCTCTGATACTCTGTATCATGGATTTTTTATTACACTGTAGATGTACATCGACTTCCCCTCCCACCATTTTCTGTCTTGTCTATTGAAACTTAACTCAAAGAGGAGAAGGACTATCTTTTACTAAAAAGCAACAGAGAGTCCTGTGGCACCTTTAAGGCTAACAGATGTATTGGAGCATAAGCTTTCGTGGGTGAATGCCCACTTCGTCGGATGCATGCGCCCACGAAACCTTAT